ATTCTGAAGGCTGGACCAGGCCTGGGGAGGGTCACAGGGACCACAGGCACAGGAGGCGGTGGACGGGCCCGGAGCACACACTTCCTGCCGGCAGCTCCATGAGCTGTGCTGGAAGAGCCATGACGGCTGGCACCACCCCACACGGACCGTCTCTCGCCCCTACCTGCAGCTCTAGCCAGGAGGGCGGCTCCGTGCGCACCCCGTTGGCACAGGTGCGTCTCAGGCGCTCAGCACAGAAGGGCCCGTAGCCGACTGGCCCTTGACCGATGAAGTTCAGCAGATACTGGTGGGCGAGGAAGGGAAGGGGACGAAGACACTTAGCATAGAGGACACTTTCTACTTACTGTCCAGATTCTAGAAACTGTGATACTAATTGTAACTATGGATGTTGGATGTGTTAACTAACCTTACTTGGCAATCACTCTGCAATACACACCTATGTAAAATCACTACACTGTACACCCTACACCTGAACAATGTTATATGTCAATTATATTTCAATAAAACTGGAAAAAAATTTTAAATGAAAATAAAAATGATAATAGTGCTGGCAAAGGTGCATTGACTCGGGGCTCTCACACTGTGAGAAGAAATATCAATTGCACAACATTTCTGAGGAGTCATTTGTCAATATGTTTTAAATAGTACATAGTTTAAAAATGTACATACTCTTCGACTTAATAATTCAAACCTATGATAAAGGGAGATATATAGGTTTTTTTGTTTTTCATTTTTTTCATTTATTTAGTCTTTTGGCTGCATTGGGTCTTCATTGCTGTACACAGGCTTTCTCTAGTTGTGGCGAGCGGGGGCTACACTTCATTGCAACGCGCGGGCTTCTCATTGCGGTGGCTTCTCTTGTTGCAGAGCTCGGGATCTAGGCAAGTGGGCTTCAGTACTTGCAGCACGTGGGCTCAGTAGTCGTGGCACGCAGGCCCTAGTGCATGCGGGCTGCAGGAGTTATGGCACGCGGGCTCAGCAGTTGTGGCGCATGGGCTCTAGGGCGCATGGGCTTCAATAGTTGTGGTGAGTGGGCTCAGTAGTTGTGGCTTGCTGTCTCTAGAGCACAGGCTCAGTAGTTGTGGCTCAGGGGCTTAGCTGCTCTGCGGCATGTGGGATCTTCCTGGACCAGGGCTCGAACCCATGTCCCCAGCATTGGCAGGCGGATTCTTAACCACTGTGCCACCAGGGAAGTCCCTATAGTTTTTAATCATAGTGGTGTTTATGGTGATGGGCAATTGGAAGATGGATCCTAAATGTCCATCAACGAGTGAAATACGCGCTGGGACAGCACTAACAGATGGCATCAGCATCTGTTAATGGCATTAGCACTGCCATTTGGGAACAGTTTATGACATGAGAAGACACATAAGATAAATGAAAGCTGCAGGAGAGCCGATGTTCAAAATATGTTTGACAAGATGCTGAAACAAGGCATTGAAAACTTTTTTGTCTCTCAGAGAGATTCTTTGAGGAGATGCAGCCTGGAAGGGTTTACTGGTGTCAAGGGTGGCCCAGGGCCTAGGGCAGATGGCCAGGGTGACCACACTTCCTGCTGTCCCTGAAAGGACAAGAGGTAGTGATATTGTTTTCTATGTGATTCCAAGTATGACCCTATCACACCACAAAAGGCCAGGAATTGTAACGGAAGTTACCTCTGCGTGTGGGGATGACTTTTATCTTCTTTCTAGACTTTCTTCATATCCTACATATTACTTTTTTCTTTTTTTCTTTTTTTTTTTTTTGCAGTACACGGGCCTCTCACTGTTGTGGCCTCTCCTGTTGCAGAGCACAGGCTCCGGACACGCAGGCTCAGTGGCCATGGCTCACGGGCCCAGCCGCTCCGTGGCATGTGGGATCTTCCCGGACCGGGGCACGAACCCGTGTCCCCTGCATCGGCAGGCAGGCTCTCAACCACTGCGCCACCAGGGAAGCCCCCTACATATTACTTTTATCATCAGAACCAAAAGGTATATTAGAGTAGCAAAGGTTGGGGCCTCCAACACTTGAAAGCACCTCCCTTGTTAGTGCTAAGGCCTAGAGAGAGATGCTGCAGCCAATCTCTGGTTGGTGCCCACTCCTCAGACCCGTTTGCCTTTTCAGTACCCACTGCACCCATTGTCTCATTGTCTCCTGGTGACTGAGCCCAGGTAAGATGACTCTGCAGATCCTGATTAGAGGTTGGAAGGAGCATCCTTTTTTACAGGCGGGAAACCGAGGCTCAAAGAAGCCCAGGCACTGATACCCATCCTGGCCTGCAGTAGCAGGAGAACTGGGCCATGCATGGGTTAGGATGTCTGGACCTTCTCCAGGGCCCCGGGCCCACCCGTGCTGCCCCTGCCTTCAGCCCCTGCCCCCGGCCCTTCCCACCTTCATGAACCTTTCGGAGGGCGGGAAGCAGCCCAGGCACAGGCCAAGCAGGATCCAGCCCCGGGCCAGGCTGCTTGTTCTGTAGTTCTCCGAGAGCTGCTTGCAGATCTGGCAGTAAATCTCATCCCTAAAAGACACGGAGTGCTGGGAGGCCAGGCAGGGGGCTGGCTCTGGGGGAGAACAGGAGACGGGGTACAGGGGCACACAGCTCCTTCTGCACCCCTAGGGGCAGACATGTTTGCAGGGGGACCTCCAGCCTCCTCGCCTCCAATTGCTTCTGCTGCACACCCTCACCCCCCCATCACATCCAGGCCCACCGTGGACCCTGTCATCTCCCAGGACTGTGCTCCCTCCAATGTCTCGCCAGTGGGCTCTGTAGCCCCACTCCTTTTTTTCTTTCCTTAATATTTATTTATTTATTTGGCTGTGCCAGGTCTTAGTTGCGGCACGCGGAATCTAGTTCCTGAGCAGGGATCGAACCCGGGCCCCCTGCATTGGGAGCGTGGAGTCTTAACCACTGGACCACCAGGGAAGTCCCTCTGCACCCCCGTTCCTGATAGCCCTTGTTTTCTGTCTTCCCAAGGCCTCAGTCCTCCATCCTCCCAGTCAGTCATCTCGGCCCCTTGGGCCTTTGCTCCCTCCCTCACCCACTCCGCTCACAGCACCTTGACCCTCCAGCTGTGGGTCACGGCTACAGGGAGGGCCGAGGGGTCTCCAGCCAAAGCCCTGCTCCTAGTAGATCAGCCCAATCTGATCTGCTCCTTTCCCCAACCTCACAGTTATTTCAAACCTTTCCCTCTGCCTAGAGGCTCTCCCCCTTCCCCTGAATGCAGCGCCCCCCAGCCCGCCACTGCAGGGAGGGGAGTGGGGACTTCGAGGGGGAACCTCTCAACTCCTCACCTCCTGATCAGTTCCCATTCCCACAGGCTCATGAGCCTCCCTTCTCTGTGTCCTCTTGGGGAAGGGCTTTCCTCCACTCTTCCCTGCTGACTCAAGCCTCTATCAACTTATAAAAGTGTCCCATTAGCCTCTCCAACCTCACACATCCAGAGGCCAGCATCTTTCCCCTAGTTACACAGTGGTATGCTCCTAAGTGTGTAACAACCAACTCTTCTGGGGGAAAAAGCCCTGAAATTCATTGCATTTGCCAATTTCTGTGGTGTAAATATTCCCACCAGTGCTGATTTCAAGCTACCAATGTCACGTTGCTGACCACAGAGTTCAGAGGAGACGTGCACGGCCAGCTTTCCTGGGCCAGTAGAGTCAGTCCCAGCAGACCTCCACCTTCTGCAGCCTCTGCAGGCACTGCCATCAACCACTCCCCCAGACGGGAAATCTGGGGGCCACCCCAGGCTCCACCCGTCAGCCACCACATCCTACTATCTGTCTCCTGGAAATTTTCTCTGTCCCCTGCTCTCCACTTCTGCTCCCTGGGCTCCCTCATCAGCTCTGCAGCAGCCCTCTTCCGGCCTCCCACCCCCAGGCTCCATCCCTCCATGTCATTGCCAGGAAGATCTTTCTGGAAGTCGTCTATGATCATGGTCTTCTCTTAAAGCTTTTCCCTGTGCTCTAAGGATTGAATTTAAAGTCCGGGCCCCAGCTGGGACAAATCATCTGGAATTCCAGACCCTCAGGCTGTTTCAGAACTCTGTGACCCTGCTCACCCTCTCCCTCTGTCTAGCGAACACCCCTCCTCCTTCCCACTCCACCTGGCCCTACTCTTTTTCGGTGCCCCCACTGGATCACCACCTTAGCACAGGCAGTTGTGCGTCTCCGGGTCCTCCCATGCTCCCCAACTAAAGGATGGGCTCCTTGAGGACAGAGACACGTTGCCTTCATCTGTACATCCCCAGCCCACAGGCCAGGGCCTGGCCCTGAGCAGGTACTTAGTAAACATTTATTGAACATGTGGCTGGATGTGAAGTGGGGCATTTGCTTTGTCTTGGAATTTGGCTAAGACTCCAAAGCCAAGGATAAACAGATGATAATACTCAATATTCTAAAGAGATACACTCTTGTAGGATTTACTAAAAGATGGCAGAACCAGTCCAGCCAGCACGCCATCTCCAGCCTGCATAAAGGAAGGTGAGAAATTTGAAAGGTGATTCCTGGAAGCGACTTCATGGGAGTAGAGGGATCTCTGGCTCATCTTCACTACATCTAAGTGAGGGGGAGTGAGGGGGACCCAGGAGAACTGCTAATGGAGGTGGGGACTGTCTGCTAGAGACGGGACCCATCTCACTCCCCATCTGAGGCATGATGAGCCCCAGCAGCCCATTCCAGGGTACTGGAATGGGGCATGATGACAGAGCTCTTGAGAGTGCCTCGTTTGTGTCCCCTGGAGATACAAGTTGGGGGTCTCCATGAACAAGAGACTAGTGTCTGCCTCCTGCTAGAGAAGTCTAAGCCACGCTTGATGGGCAAAATGGAGAAAGAACAGTCAGGAGCTGAGAACTGCACTTGTACAGTTTGGTGGGGCAAGCGTGGATGGGTGTCAGTTGACAAAGAGGAGGCCATGGAAGGAGCTGGGCTTCAGGCATCTTGCTGGGATCCACGCAAGCAGGCCAACCATCATTCCAGAGGGTCCCAGTGGTTAAGAGGCTGTGGTATGTTCCATTAGGGGCTAGAGATGACAGAGAACCTCAAGGGATCCCTGAGACAGTGTTGGCCCCAGCTGGGGTCAGGACTGTGCGGAAGTGCCTACAGGGTATCTGAAGAACCCACAATCATCTCATATGGGTCTGCTATGTTGGAGGGTGTGGTGGCCAGTGAGGACTAACCATGAGAGAATTACCAGTAGAACCAACTAAGTTGGAAGAGTTGCCACATTAGTGTCATGCAGGCAGCTAAAACGCTAGTCTTACTGGCTTGAAGAACCAGAAGACAGAGTTTGGGTACCCACAGCAGTTGAAAGTGAAAAGAGAAATCCTGTAATGAAGACAACCAAAGAAAAGGAGTCCTACATTTTGCATATAAAATTTTCCTGAATCTCTGGCTCACCCTTGATCTACACATGTGTGGGGAAGACTCCAGGTAGTCCAGCAAAGGCTAAAATAACTGAACAGGGTTTCCAGCTGCTGCTCACCAAAGGGAGGCAGAGTTTGAATCCACCCAAGTTAACTGTCTGCCAAAATGAAAAGTCAACACTCTCTGAAGGAATACAACAGATTCCAGAGTCTCTAGACATATCATCCCCAAATGTCTAGGATACAACCCCAAAGTACTAGATTTCTGAGAAAATAACAGTCAGGTACTGGACATATGAGGAAACAGGAAAACCTGACCATTCTCAAGAGAAAAGGCAATCAGTGGAAACTGGCCCCAAGATGAACCAGATATTGGATTTATCAGAAAAGGTTTAAAAACTACCATAACTGTGCTCAAAGATGTAAAGGACACTATGCTCATAGTGAATGAACAAACAGGATATCTTGGCAGAGAAACAGAAACTATAAAAAAGAACCAACTGCAAACTCTAGAATTGAAAAATATAATACCTGAAATTTAAAAAAAATGTTGGATGGGTATAATAGCAGACTGGGGAAGACCAAAGAAGAATCAGTGAATGTGAAGATAGATTAATAGAGACTATCCAATCTAAAGAACAGAGGAGAAAAAAAGAAAGCAGGGATGAACAGACCCTCAGGGATGTGAGGGATAATATAAAAGTCTTCCATAGGTTTAATTAGAGTTCAAAGGAAAAGCGAGAGAGAATGAAGTAGAAAAAAATATTTGGAGAAATAATGCCCCAAATTCCCCCAATTTGGTTAAAAATAATAACTTAAAATATGTGAACTCTTGAGATACAGTAGTCTGTCCCTGAAAGCAGTATACACGGTTCTTTAAATTTGTATAAAAACACAATTCCTGTAAAGCAAATTGTATATAAAGTAAAATATATATAACATAAATGAGGGACTTGCCCGTTTAAATGGACTTGCATTAAAGCTGGTTATCAAATGAATCAACAGCCCATGATGAACTTGTCTTCCTAAAACTGGGTTTCACCCAGGGGTTTTAACGCAGAGCAAATAGAGAACACTTGATGATAACGTCTGCTGTCCTGAGACCCAGCCTGCAGGTCTCAGGGCAGGGAGCAGGATAGGGCTGCAGCCATGGGCTGAGAGCCAGTGAGGGGTCCCATGTTCTGAATGGGGTGCGACGGGGGTGGGGACTGACCTGAGGCTGGGCCGCAGGATGGCGTAACCCACGATGAACTGCACCTTCTCCAGATTGGACATGGGTCGATCTGAGATGGGCTCGTCAGGATCAAATACCTCTTCCCTGATATTCAGCTGGCTGGCCACCTTGAAACCCAAAGGCGGCAGTCAGGACAGCTGAGATTCTTCTCATTTGCAAAGGAGGAAACCGGGTGAAAGCCTGGAATGCTGCCGCAGGCCAGCCAGTGGGCGGCAGAGCTGGGAACAGGCCCAGGTGCCCTGTCCCTGGGCTCACCTGGCCCGTGACCCTGGAGGACCGCTTCAGCTTCATGGAGGAGATGTCCTTGGTCCCTCTGTCCCTGCGGTTGGGCCTCTGTGGATGGAGACAGTTCTTGAGGGATGGTGAGCTGGGGTAGCACCTCCCAATCTGACCCAACAGTGCCTAGGGTGGGGCTAGTCTCCAGATCCCCCAGCCATTTCCCAGCCGATTCACAAAGCGCCGAGCAGCCCCTCATCTTGACCGAGCTATGCACCACTGGCAGGTGTGCATTGCCATCCTCAGAGCTGAGTGAGGAAACAGAGGCGAGGGAAAGTGAGAAACTGGACAAAAGCTGCTCGGCCAGTCACCAGCCCTCTGGGAGGGCTCAGGACTGTCCTGATTCCAAAGCTTGGACCTCTCGCCAGCCAAGCAGGCTGGATCTGAGCCCAGGTGCCCAGGACAGCCCCAGGCTATGGTCATTCTCTGTGACAATTTGGCCGATGAATTGGAATACACTCCACCCACTGCAAGGTAGGGGCTTTCCCAGAGATCAGAAGATTCTAAGCTGCGGGGCCTGGGCTGGGTGGGGAGGGGTCTGCCCCCAGCCATCATGATTTGGTGGTCTCCTTAGGCAGGGGTCACACCTTGTCCTGATGGTGTCATGAGAAGTTGCTGCCAAAATTAGAGCTCAGGGCTTCCCTGGTGGTGCAGTGGTTGAGAGTCCGCCTGCTGATGCAGGGGACACGGGTTCGTGCCCTAGTCCGGGAAGATCCCACATGCCGAGGAGTGGCTGGGCCCGTGAGCCATGGTCGCTGAGCCTGCATGTCCGGAGCCTGTGCTCCGCAACAGGAGAGGCCACAACAGTGAGAGGCCCACGTACCGCAAAGAAATAATAATAATAAAATAAAAAAGAAAAACATTAGAGCTCAATGTGGGACCAGGTCTAGGGCTGGGCACCAGCTTCTGGGCTCGCTCAGTCCACTGCTTCTCCTCAGGGGGCACACGATGGTTGCTTAATAAATGTGCAGGAAGGAACACTTGAGATCTGACCTCTGGGAAGCCAGTCCTCCCTGTGCTCACCTTCCGGAGGTGCCAGTGGCTGGACCACCTCCCAGAGTCCCCTCCCTGAGAGGTGGCCAGCCTCCAAGGTGGCCCCCAGTGGCCCTTGCCTCCTGACATTCTCACCCACCGTGGCACGTAGGCATTGAAGCTTCCTTCCTGCTGTCTCTCTGAGGTCACTCATTGTGGAGGAAGCATATGTGAGAACACTCGGGCAGCACCATGGAGAGGCCCAGGTGGCCAGAGCTGAGGTCTCCTGCCAGCAGCTACGTGAGGGAGCCATTTGGAAGCAGATCCCATAGCCCCAGTCGAGCTTGGAGATGACAGCTTGACTGCAACCTCACCAGAGACCTTGAGCCCGAACTAACCAGCTAAGCTGCTCCTGACCCTCAAAAACTGTCTGAGATAACGAATGTGGGCTGTTTCAAGTTGTCAAATTTAGGGGGTAATTTGTTACATAGCAATGAATGACTATTACACTCTGCAGAGCCCACATCTCTAGAGGTCAGGGGAGTCAGGGCTTGAGTTTGGGCAACTTCCATGTAATCCCTGGACCAGATCTGGCCACGTGATGCCAGGCTGCAGACTCCCTTAGATGTCTATGCAGTTGGTCTGCACACAGGACCTCACAGCTATCTGAGCTGAGGTATGGGGCACTGTGATATTGTGATTTCTAATAAGAAATATATATTTGGTCTTTGCCCCCATTACTGGCACAGAGCTCCTAAAACCCTTGGAATTTCCTATGATAAAGGTGTCTTTTTATGTTAATGAGGTGACTTTTGGAAAGCACCTAAGGGTGGGTCTGGTTGCCAGGGGACAAGGGGACGGGGGGAGGGGCGGGAGATTGAGTTCAACTGGCTCAGTGGCCAATGATTTCGTCAATCGTATCTATGTAATGAGGCCTGCGTAAAACCCCAAAAGAACAGGGTTCAGAGAGCTTCTAGGTTGGTGACCACTTGGAGATTTAGGGAGAGTGGTGCCTGTAGAGGACACGGAAGCTTCTTTTTTTTTTTTCTATTATTTATTATTTATATTTTGGCTGCACCATGTGGCTTGTGGGATCTTAGTTTCCCGACCAGCGATTGAACCCAGGCCCTTGGCAGTGAAAGTGTGGAGTCCTAACCACTGGACCACCTGGGAATTCCCCATAGAAGCGTCTTAATCTTTCCCCACACCTTGCCCTATGCATCTCTCCCATCTGGCTGTTCTGAGTTGTATCCTTTTATAATAAACCAGTAATGTAGTAAGTAAAATGTTGCTCCGAATTCTCTGAGCCGCTCTCGCAAATTAAACCCAAGGACGGTGTCGTGGGAACCTCTGATTATAGACAGTGGATCAGCGAATGAGGAGCAATCTGGACTTGTGCTGAAGCAGGTGTTGTCTTGAAGGATGCAGCCCTTCATCTGTGGAATCAGACGCTATCTCCAGGCAGATAGTGTCAGGATTGAGTTGAATTGTAGGACACCCAGCTGGTGCTGAGAATTCTTGGTGTGGGGAGAAATCCGCATACATTGGAATTGGTGTCAGAATCATAGGCAATCGTGGGACTCCTAATGCTGGTGGGCCCGAGTGCTATCACTGCTGTGTCATTCCTTTGGACTATTTTGGTTAATTCCACTAAGATGACATCATGAAACCAGGGCTTTAGGAAGGACTTCTGACCAAAAATGGATGTGAATTAACCTTCCATCAGAGGACAGGGCAGAACATGGGTAGAGAACTTGGTCTCTGAATTCAGCAGAATGGATTCAAAGCCCAGCTGTGTCACACGTATTCACTGTGATCTGGGGACAAGTCACTTCACTTCTCAGTCTCTCTAGCTACAATAAACTTAATAATCCCTACCTCGTAGGGATGGCTCATCTGGAAATTAACTGAAGACAAGCAACTGGCACATAGCACGTCACCAGTCAGTAATAACATCTGTTGTTAGTATTACTGTCCAATGTTCAGGTCAAACCCAGTGTTCAGAGCCTGGGAGATCCTCTCCTATGATGACTGTATTAATTCACAAAGTCCTGGGTGTAATGCCTGACTCTTGAGTTCCTGAGTGCCATTCAAGACTGAAAAGCCCCGGGGACCCCTGGGTCCAGCAGGTGATGCTCACTCCACGTCTTGCCTCCCCCTTCCAGTCCAGCTTCCGGGGCCTGGGGACCCCGGAAGGGCGTATGCCCTTTGTGCCCCCGCCCACTGCGCACCTGTGCGGATCCGCCGTGTGCCGGAGGCTGGGCACCGCTCTCCCTGCCTGGGGCGTCATGGATCTGCCGCATCACCGAGCCACCACGCAGGGTGTTCCTCGCAAAGAGCACTGGCTCCGGGATGTCACCCATGAACCTCAGGATGATGTTCCACACAGCCAGGGCGGCCTGGGGAGACGGGGACAGAGTGCCCGGCTGGAAGCCAGCTCCACGCAGCGTGGAGCCCACAGCACCCCACCCGTGCCTGGTTCCCGCTGAACCAGGGGGAGGCCTGAGCCACTAGAAACCGGAGAACCAGGTACCGAGCAGTCAGCATCCTCCTCGTGGTAAAGCAGAGGGTATCGGAGCGGCCGCCGGATATGTGTGTGGCTGGCTGATTTCTGAAAGTAGGTCACGGCGAACTTGGGGAAGGTGTACTCGGCCAGGCCATCTGCGTCCTCCTCGGGCTCCTCCGTCATGGGGACCGTGTCTAGGTCAACCTCGGGTAGCTTCTGGGTCCTCTCTTCCAGATCCTGGGTGCCAGTGAGAGAGAGGGGCAAGGGTCTGCTGTCTTTTCAGATGTGACCTGGCAGCGTGTGCATCTTTGGGGGCCAGGGAGCCCCAAGAAGGGTCTGTCTGGCTATTGATGGGGTGCAGAATTATCCACTGCCCCTTGTGTTGGGGACCTCCCCGACCCTCACCCTCAGTGGGCCCCTGGTGGGCTGCTGGGTGCTGGGCGGGCCTCGGTGTGAAAGCCCCAGGTACCTGGCACTCTCTGCCTGCAGACCTGGGCTCTCCAGACACCCCCCACTCCCTACCTGCTTCCTGCTTGCTTCTGTCAAATGCTCCTCCAGTGGAGGGGGGCCGGGCTGCCTGCACTGCACAGATGATTTGTGTGTGTGTGGGGGGGGGAGCCTGGGCAGGGGGATGGGGAGGCATGAGCACCTTGGGGGTCGCCTAGGTCACTGGCCCAGAGCAGGATGCGGTGCGAGTCAACTGGACAGCCCGGAGCTGCCCCCAAATCAGACACGCCCTCCTCCTGCCGTGCGTTTTCTACCTCGGGTCCCCAGGTCACATACCGCAGAGCAGCAGCCACCGAGGTGCTCTGTGACAGGGGCCAAACGCATGCGGTAAACGCTGCCCGATTGAAAGCCCAATGACATTTGTGCAGTAAAGGCTCTAGGAAGCCTTGCAGGTAAGAAACCTGCTCAACTTGAAAGGGTTTGACCACAGAGACCCTCGCTCCTGTTTTCCTCGCGTCTTCACCCAGGACTGCAGAACTCACTTCAACACCTACCTACTCCATCGGCTCCCTGAGCTGAGTCTTGGCTTTTCAGTAAAGCCTAGAGGTTGGCCCCTAGACAGAGCCCCCCTCGCTGCTGGGCCGGCAGGGCCTATCTTACCTCGATGTGCGGCGTGGCCTGGCCTTCCTGCCCGCCCATCAGGGAAGGCAGGAAGCCGAACACCTGTTCTACCAACTCCGTGTCGGTGACAGTGTCGTAGATGGACTTACGCTTCCTGCTGGGGACAGCGCTTGGGCTTTTCTGCTCTCCAGCGGGGATGACCAGAGGCTCCTGCACAGACACCCCGGGGGGCCACGGTTACCACAGGCCCGGCTGGGGCAAGCCCCTCCCGGAAGCCAAATAAACCTCCTCCTGCCATATTTGTCCAAATCAAAACATTTCCCTCTAAAATCCTAGGTTTTAAAAGTGAGAGGGACTGGAGATCAACCAGCCTGGGCTTCTCCTTTCCCAGTGGATAATTAGAGGTCCAGAGAGGGGAGATGCTTGCTTGTCTTCACAGGGTACCATGCCAAAGCCCGAAGACCCCCAGAACCTAGCTGCAAACCCCACTCAGGCCCACCTGGTCCCTTCACAAAGAGTACCAAGGCTCCCCTGGGAGGGGGCCCTGAGCCTGCCCTGGTTTGTGGCCCGTCCGGGGCCATATGGGTGCAGGAAGACGCTGCTGACATGTCTGGGGCTCTGCACTCTTTCTTGCTCTGGCCACTGTACTAGCACTGTGCTCCGTGGACCCATTTTCATCTATGGAGCAGGGGAAGACTTTATCCTAGGCCCTCTTTCCTTATCACCACTGCCAAATGAGCAAGTTCTGAGGAGTGAGGCTGAGTCTCAGGTGCTCTCCGAATGGAGGAAATGGGATCACGCGAGGGTGAAATTTCAAAACGCAGGGATATGCATCTCGGCGCCGCTCCCCTGTTCCCTGCCCTCCCGCCTCTCTTGCCCGGACTCTCTTGAAGGCTCCTCTTGGTATTTCTTGGTATTTTTGGACCTGGAGGGGCAGGAGTGTCTGGCGAGAGCCCTATGTTGCTGCCCATTCCTTCCGCCTACCCTCCCTCACCTGGGCCCAGCCACCTCCCACCTGCCCGAGAGGGCAGTGACCACCTACATTGGCTTTCTGACGCCGGAAGTTCCGCCGGACAGCTGTGCCCCTGGCGTACGCCTGGATGACCACCACTGCCCTCCTCTTGGCCTGGACCTGCTGGCGCACCAGGTAGCCCCTGCAGAGGGCCTGCAGCTGGACCATCCTCTGCCGCATGGCCTGGTACTGCTTTGCCAGCAGGTGGCTCCGGGCAATGGCCTGCAGACGCTCAAAACCCAGGAGGACCTGCGGAGGCAAGAAGGACGGACACTCACAGAGAGGCCTGGGCCCAGCAGGGCACAGAGCAGAGAAAGGCCTTCCCGAGGGGACAGAGAGCAAGGGGCAAGGGGTCCTCACAAATTAGCTTTACAGTTACCTGCTTTATGGCAAAGCACTAGTGCTAAAATTTTACGTGCCTGTGAGTACAAGCATATTAAATGAGTTACACTTGTAAAGCAGTCAGAACAGAGCCTGGCATGAAACGAGTGCTAAAGAAGGCTTTTTAAATGGCGTAAATAATGAAGTAGTTTCCTGGTAGTTCTACCAGTAACAGAGAACTGGTTTGGGTGTCACATGTGTGATACGATTCCAGAGGCCTTGCTTTTCACACCTGCAGCCAAGTCCAGCCAGTTTGTGTGGAGCTAGAGTACCTGTGTGGAGGCCTATGGCCGGCTCCATCAAGCTAATCCCTCAGGGATCTTGAAAATAAAGAGGAAATAATAAACTATGAGTACCTGCTTCTACGCTGCAAACACACCCTAGGCCACAGCAGTCCCTAAGCCTCTGGGATGGCTCCTGTTGGCTTCTGAAAGACCAACCTAACGGCTGCCAGGTGTGAGGGGTCATGCTTCACCTTACAGGTTTGGAAGTCACCCAGACACACATCCAAACTCCAGCTCTGCTGCTTACTGATTGCGTGCTCTTGGGGAAATGACTTAATTTCTCTATGCCTCGGTTCCTTGACATACAGTGTTGGCTTAACAATAAATAAAATGATGCACACAGAGCAACAGGCCCCAAGGAGCCTTTCCATCCATGTCAGCTGCCAATGGGCCCTTGTGAGCACGGAATGAGGACAGGTCTGGGTCAGTTTTGCTGATGTGACCACTGCATGTCCCAACCACAGTCGCAGCCATGACCAAGGCAAGCAGTCAAACAGGCCCCACAGGACACGGTTAAAGGTTGCTCTGGTTTGTTTGTTGTGCAGACACTCATTAGCAGTGCCTGTGGTCAAGGAAAAAATTAGAAAAAAAATGCTTGAAACAGAAAATAATCAATCCATTAACTTATTTTGTTGCCTGGAAATTGGGAAAAAAAAGCCACCATCTAATTTCAGAGTAGGACATCTCATTCTAGCTCTGGAGATGCCCCGAATTCTGCAGGAGAACGCTTTGAAACCTGCAAACTGTGTGACCTGACACTATGCTAAGAAGAGTGTGGGGTGCTGAGGTCTGGATCACGCCTGTGGCTGATGTGATGCTTCCTGCCCCAGCTCTCACAGTCATAAACAAATGTCAACATTTGTTTCTAATTGGATGGCTGCTCCCGCAGGCTCCGCCTCCCACGTGAGTCTCTTACCAGCTTGAAGTTCCTCCGGCTGTAGTAGCCTCTCCACCAGGCCTGGAGGGTCACAGCTGCCCGCCTCTGCCTTAGGAACTCCTTCCTAGAAGCGGAAATGCAAGTCAGTGGTAACAACCACAGACATTTTAAAGCCTTTGGGGGGAAAAACTGATTTTGAAGGAAGAGAGGTAATGAAATGTTGGGGGAAATGAATGCATACAATATTTCTTTTCCAGAAGCCTTTATAGGCTGAAAGACAGACAGGTTAGGAACTTAAAATCTACTGCCAACAACTAAATTTGTGAATGAGGACAGTTCAGTTTTTATTTATTTATTTAAACTGATCTTTTTTCTTTTTCTTTTCTTTATTTTTTTTGGCCACGCCACGCAGCTTGCGGGATCTTAGTTCTCCAACCAGGGATTGAATCTGTGCCCCCTGAAGTGGAAGCGAGGAGTCCTAACCACTGGACCTCCAGGGAATTTCCGAAGACAGTCCAGTTTTTAGAGTGAGGAGAATAAATTTCCTCATTCCCCCCAAAGATCTCTGAAGGGATAAAACCCATTTCCAACTTTTTATTCGTTGTCAGACTCTGCCCCCTCCTCTGGCCACTAGCCCAGGGGTTTACCAGAAATCAGGTCAGAAGTCTCAGGACCAGAGCTCCTCTCTGGGGGCAGGTCAGAGCAGAGGGCTGCCCCCAGACCCAGGCAGCCTGGCAAGTTCCATCAGACTGCTCCCTCCACAAGGAGGAAGAGGGCTGAAAACTGGAGGAGGTAACCTGAAACCTCGCCTCTGGGGAGTCAGAGGTGCATGCGGATGTACCTTTTCTCCCACACTTAACTGAGTTTTTTTTTTATCACTTCTAATAATTTTTCAGGGTTATTTTCTTAGGTTTAGGACAGTAGATCTCAATCATATTAAAAAATCATCTTCGGGGAGTTGGGGGAGGGGGAATTGGATGAAGGTGGTCAAAAGGTGCAAACTTCCAGTTATAAGATTAAGTACTAGGGATGTAATGTACAACATGATGACTATAGTTAGCACTGCTCTATGGTATATGTAAAAGTTATTAAAAGAGTAAACCCTAAGAAGGATTTCCATCACAAGGAAAAAAAAATTTTTTTCTTTTGTTTCTGCATCTGTATGAGATGGTGGATGTTCACTAAACTTATTGTGGTAACCGTTTCATGATATGTATAAGTCAAATCATTATGTGGTACACCTTAAACTTGTACAGTACTGTAAGTCAATTATATCTCAATAAAACTGGGGGACAAAAACCAAAAACCAAAACAAACAAACTAAAAAGAACAAGAAAAAAATCATCTGGAGAACTTCAATATTTATTGATGCCTGGGTGCCTCCAGTCCAATTAAGTCAGAATCTTTGTTGATGGGTGGACAATATATATATCTGTATATCTATCTATTCAATATTTTTTGGTGCATGTACACACACACACACACACACACACACACATACACTCACATGATGATTCTAATATAAGGCCAAAGTAAACAACTGAGTTATCTAAAAATAAAGATAATTTGTCTCCTTTCTAATATTTATACCAGTGGTTCTCAACTGGGGGTGATTCTGCCATTTGGCAATGTCTAGACACATTTTTGGTTGCCATGACCGGGGGCTGGGGAGGAGGATGCTACTGGCATCTAGTGAGTAGAGTTCAGATGCTGCTAAACATCCTGCAATGCCCAGGACAGCCCCCTATGACAAAAAGTTATCCAAGCAAAATGTCAATAGTGTTGAAGTTGAAAAACCCTGATTTCTATATTTTCTTTAAATTTCTTGTCTAATTGCATTGGCCAGAGCAGCAAGAACACCATTAATTACCAATGGTGATCACTTCTGGGAAGATGGAGTAGACATACTTTCCCTTACTCCTCCTGTTAACTACAACTAAAAACCGCTAGACATTATACATAAAACAGAAGACGCTGAAAGATGGAGAGAAGAAGGAAGACCAGCTAAGGATCTTAGACACAGTGGTAACTTCTCTGGATTTCTTTTTGCCTCACATACCCCAGACTGGGAGTGGAAGAAGTAGGCAGTCCAGAAAAGGCAATGGGCACAGACCAGAAAGACCCCAAGAAAAGCCTTCTCTCTCTACCAAAAGGATCAAGAAAGGGGCAGTTTAGCAAGACAGAAAACTTTTAGATAATAACCAAGTCTACTCCAGTGAAACACCATGTAAACAACCGTGGTTCCCCCACCTACACCAGAAGATGCCCAGTGGAAAGCCTAGACGTCCACCCTCACCTGGGTTGTGTAGGAAGTCATCCTTGATGGGTAGTAATGAGCTCACCCCCAACAATGGCAGTGGAGACCACTGGGGAATCCTGAACCTGTATGGCCTTCTAAGCCACACCTCCCTGCCTCACGACCCTGCTTGCTGGTGCCCATGGCCGCTATTCCCGTGGCTCAGCCACTTTCTCGTATTTTGTCCTATCTGGGTTTCCAGGCCTTCCTATGGTTGGCAACGGGCCGACAGGACAGCAGGGAATGGCACCATGGGACCTGCCGAGCCCCCTGGACGTGGTGAGGGGGAGGGAGGCGGTAATATGGCTGATTTACTGAACCTGCACTGAAATTCAAGCGTTATCTTCTTACTGACCAGGAAACCGAGTCAAAGACAGTTCTTTTCTTCCCTCCAAAACCAGCCACCTCATAAAACCAAACCCATACATTCTCTAAGACAACTGAAGGAGAACGCCGAGATACAGTCGAAACCAGAGCTGACGTTTCATTGGGTTCTTGCTTCCGTGGTGGAGTTTGCCCTCCACCCCAAAGATTCAAATAATGTATTAGAATTCTCTGGCCAACACAGGCTTGCAGTGCTCCTGGTCAGGAGGTCCCGACAGCGCTTCTGCCTCGGTTACCCCGAGAGGGGGGACCAGTGGGAACATGTGGCCCTTGGGGGGTACAGGCCTGCCCAGGGTACATGGCGGGTGGGTGTATGGGCTGGGAGGGGGCAGGGAAGTCACCTGTATCTGTAGCCCCGCAGGACTCTCTGGATGCTGACTGCAGCCTTGTCCAGGACCTGGCTCCTCTGTACCGCCAGCAGGGTTTCCTGGTATTCCTGGGATGGGAGAGATCTCATCATGCAGCTTCCCTGCCTCACCCCTACTCCCCCACCTGCAGCCAGAAGTCAGGGTCTCTCAGACTCTTCCCACACGGCTCCTAGGAGGGTGGGCAGGGGAAGGGGCCCTCATGTTGCCACCGATGTGGCTCAGAGCAGAGAACCGCAGCTACATCCCCAGCCCCAATCCAAGAGCTTCCCATTTTGGTTCTTTCTTCTTGTTGATTCGATCTGCGAAATTTCACTTCTGCTCTGGAGAACGCAAGAGGGGGGCAAAAAATTTCCCCAAAGCTGTATTTTATTTCCCAAAATTCATGTGCAACGCTCATTCAGCTGTAATACAGATGCATGCTTGTTTCTATGTAAACATGAATTCCAGCCTTTGCATAGAATTCAGAGTGTGAGGTGATGAGCCGTATTCATCCCTGAGCGGTGACTTTCCCTGGCCCACTCCCTGCTCCCCCTGGATCCCGGTCCGGAAGGAAGGGGCTGTCTTTGCAGAGTATAGCGCAGCACAGCCCTTTGGTAAGTGATGAGCAGAGGCCAGGGGCTTGGTGGCCCTTCCTGCCCCCATTGGTCTTGCATCAAGCAAGCACTGGGTCTCTTCGTGTGCCTGGGTGGCACCTGGGGCCACAGAGATGGACTAGACCCCCGACTGTGGCCTCACGGAGCAGCCAGGCAGGGGGAGGGATGGGGGGCGGGCACTCTCCTCGCCTCCTTGGCCATCCACCCACGCTGACCCCACTCTCCATACCACACCCTCCTGGGCAGCGGCCCTGGGACTCTCCAGACCTCTTCCCTCTGCCAGCCTCACCTCCCCAGTGGGGTCTGAAGCCCCTCTGCTTCTTCCTTCCTGTCAAGCCCCAGAGTCCCAGCACAGGCAGACCTGACTAACGCATGGACAGACGGACAGACCCACTGGAGAGCTGGGGCTGGGAGGACAGACAAGGACGTTTGGGCAGGCTCTACGGGGGAGGAGGAGAGAGCGGAGGCCTCAGGAAGGGCAGTGGGGACGAGGTGGGGTGAGGGGCCGGCTGGCAGAGCCCTGATTCTAGCCCTGATCTTCTCTTTCTCGCCCTGCTGACCTGCCCAAGGCGTGTGAGGCTAGGAGACACGGAGGTTCTCTCCCTGTGGCTCTCTGACCCCGTTTGCAATCCTGGAGGGCCCGAAGGCCAGCCTCAAGGGCGGGAGGCTGCCTCTGCGTGACCTTGAGCCTCCCTGTGAGTTGATGGAGAGGGAGGTGGGAGGAGGGAGATGGTGCTGCTTGCACTGGCAGGCCAAGGAACTGTCATGGGGGGAGGGGGCACACTGCCTCCTGCCTGAAGCCCCACCTCTCCAGGGAGGCAGGGGCGGGGCTTCCCCAGGTCTGACTGCAGACTGTGGCCCCGGGCCTGAAAGGCTGTTCTCGGGGACAGTGGGAGACCTCCTTCAGCTCCTTCTTGCTCTCCTGCAATGGCCTGGAGGCAGCCGCTCCTTCTCCTCAAGCCTTGCCCTAAATGTCCTCCTCTGAGAAGCCCCCGGGCTTTCACCGGCCGGGCTCTCCCCGTGATGCCCTGCCTCCCTTCCCCGCTAGCGTGGCTTTCTTGAGGGCAGGGGCCACGCACGGCGCAGGCGCCCACGGGCACCAGACCAGCCACACAGGCTTCCGGAGGCTGAGGACCAGCACGTTCAGGATCTCACCTTCAGGAAAATTTTGGTCTTTCCCACTTTCCAGTCTTTGTCTGTGCCCAGCCAGCTTTCGGCGATGCGCAGGGTCATCTGGCGAAACTTGCCCCGAAGCTGCCAAAGAGAAGCAGGAGTGGCTCTGTGGAGTCACGCCGGAGCCTGAGGTCCCTCCTCGGGGGCTTCCTAGGGAGCGGGGTCCTTCTGCTCCCATAGGGGTCGCCGTCAGGGGCTCCTGGGCCGGGGCACAGGCACTGGGCACCCTGGATCAAGGGTGGGGCCCCGGGGACCAAGAGGCCACCACACCCTGTAGGGCCTGGGGCCTCAGTGTGGCCGTTGGACACGGGCAGCCCAAACTTCAGGATGGCTGAGTGTTCGGGGAAGGCTAGGCAGCAGGAAGTGTCCTGCTCCCTGGCCACTTATCATCTCTGTGACATTCTGCCACGTAGAAGAGAGTGTTTGCTTTTAACTGAGGATGCTCCTAGAAGGAACATATTGAGCTGCTAGCCTTGTCCAGAGAAGGGAAGCAGGAACGGGGGTCATTTCAAAGCTTGGAGTCCAGGGAGGGGCCCTGGGCATCAGGTGGTCAGCCCGCTTGGAACGGGGGCCGTGTGGGCGCCCAGAGGCGGCTGGGTTCTGCGGATGCGCACGCCGCCTCTCGGGGCCCGTGGGCCGGGCTGCGGGGACGCACACCTCCGTGCTCACGGCGCTGGGCAGCAGGACGCAGAACCTCTGCGAGAACTCCTCGAACGAGTAGCGGATGGGGAATCCGGACTTGCGGATGTGCACCGTCTCCATCATGCCTGAGTAGCGCAGCTGCCAGATGCACAGCTCCCGGTTGAAGAGCTGCGGGCGCAGAGGAGAGGGGCTGATGGCGCGGGCCGCCCCCTTCCGGATCTCCCTGCCACCAACCCTTCGGCTGTCCACCAAATGCAGGAGAACCAAGCAAACGCTTGGTTTCATGAACGTTCTGTTTCGAAGGGAGCTATTTGGTTGAAGTCGCTGCAAAGTCCTGGAAGTGTTTTCCAAGGAGATAAAAAGTCGATAACATACAAACTGGGGACATCTACAAGAACAGCAAATGCTTCCCGCATTTTCAGAATATGCAAAGTATGAGGAATATGCCACATTTAAAATTTTTTGAAGTGCCCCCAAGCAATGATGCCAAAGAACAAGGCTTCCTGCTGGCTTTGCCTGTGTTGGGGTGACCGGTGCCCCTGCAGTCCTTCAGGCTGGGGCTCCATCGTGCCTCTCACACTCTAGTGGAAGGAATAAGTACCTTTCCTACTTTGAGTCAGAAAGTATTCTAGTCAACTTAGTCTGTCCATCCTCCAGAGATGGGTATTTGGAGAGGAACTTGGCCACGATGCTTTGCACAGGGGTATGGAGTCTCAGCCATGGCCCCAAGGCTCTGCATGCCTAGGACCCTCAAGAGTCCCCCTCCACCTACAACCAGGAGTGTCTGGGGACTAGGGGCAAGCCCTCCAATCTGGCAAGCCCACCAGCACCTGGAAACATGGAGGGCCACAGAGGCAACTGCCTGTGGCATCTAGGGCCGCACAGTAGTTAGTTTGGGGCAGCTCCTTAGCTCCCATTTATTATTTCCGGTGGGCCTGGTGCTTTTCCTTTAATCTTTACAACAGCCCTACCTGGTGCGGTTCTTAGCTCCAACTTAAAGACAAGCTGCCTGAGGCTCAGGGCCATGCTCCTGAGTGGCTGAGCCAGGGTTCCTACCTTGAGCCTTCCTGGCCCATCAGCCTGGGTTCCCCTACACCCACACAGGAGCTACCAACTCCCAGAAATGTCTCAGCCAGGGGCACCCACAAGACCTGAGAATGATCCTCAGGCCCCCACCTGTGGACGTGGGTAGAGGACCTCTGGGAGCAGTTACTCTCTAACATCTGTGCATTGTGCCTTTAAGGGAGACACACTTTGGGTCTCCTGGGCCAGCCTGAATTTCATATGATTTTATACTTTTCAAAAAGGCACTTGATTTAATGTAATATTATTTATTTTCTAAGATTTTTTTTTTTCTTTTAATCATGTTATCTCCTCTCAGATGGCATCTGCGAGTTTCTGGAATCCTGTATTTGCAGCCTCTGGGTGGGATTCCCAAGCCCACGTGTCAGGGGCTGGGCAGGCAGCAGGCTCCCACCCCACCACACACATAAGCAGATAAAGCCGCCTTCCAAGGGCTGCATGGCCTCAGGTCTCGGTGACCAGCAGTTGGTGTCAGTCTCTAAAATCACAGTACTGGTTGCTGCCCCTTATGGAGTGTGGTTTACTTATGCAGATGTGGCAAAAAAACGTCACATGCAATCCTCGCTGCCCCCTGCAGGTAGACAGATCCTGAATTTAAGGAAGAGAAAACTGAGGCTCAGAGAAGCAACACACCTGGCCAATGGCAGGCGAATGGCAGGGCTGAGACAGTTGAGGTCCGGGTAATCCAAAGCCCTGAAGGTCACAGACCTTCGAATGGCCTAGACTGGTCACCTTGCCTCAGTACCCCCATCTGTAAAATGGGGGCAGATAGCTCTAAAGCTGCCCAGACACTTGTGCAGGGAGTGACATGACCCCAGATGCCATCAGACTCATCCAGTAGAGGCCCTCTCCCTCCCCGCATTACCAGTGGCTTCTTGTACTCATTGGGTTTGATGCAGCGGATAAAGTAGGGCTGGCAGTTGGTCAGGATTTTCATCAGCTGGTCCAGGGACTGCTTGAACTGGCCCGCCAAGGTGGAGGGCCGCTTGCTGGAGTCTGCAGACTGCAGGCAAAAGCACAGGGCACAAGTGGGGGGCTGGGGAGCTTGGCCTGTGGCACAGCTGACCCATGGCACAGTGAGGGCTTCTGCCGAGGTCCCGCAGGTGGGCAGGGCTACATTCATCCAATTGCTCATTCATTCATCTAGCACAGGTTCCCCAAGTGCCTACGTGTGCAGGTGCCCAGCTAGACACTGGGGACCCAGAGCCAAGTAAGACAGGGCAAGCCTCCTGTCTAGGGGTGGGTTCCCCCAAGTGGGGCGCACAAGATGATGCACCAGGGTGAGGAGCGAATGTTTTACCTCACCATTCTACATTTTCAGTTTTTGTATTGGTTTTATATGCTTTTTTTGAATGTTTTATACTGTACATTGTAAGCATTATAGTAAATGTATACAGTTTTAAAATACATGTATTAAAATGATGGATGCAAGAGAAAACAAGATCCCAAGCCCCGGGCCAAGAGTAGTGTGTGTTTTTGTGCAATGCTGGCCTTGGACAATGCTCCTTGATCAAACCTTTCCAAGGTTGAATGTTCTTGAGCAAATGTATGTACTGCCAAACTGCGTCAGTCTGGAGACACGAGTTCACCGTTTAACACCTCTGAAAGCAGGATGCGATCACTGGCAGGCCTAATGACGATGCGAAGCATTTTCCTGTTGTCCTGGTTTATAAAATAATGTGCATTTCCCTCCACTGTCATTCTGTTCCCTGAAACCTGTGGGACATGCTCTGTGGGAGCAGGCTGTGCTCCCGCCTCAGCTGTGACGTTCAGTCTGGCTCCATGAATGCAGAGGGTCTGGCCCAGCTCCACCTGGTTCCAGACCTGGGTAATTCCTGCACAGCCTCACGGCTCCTTGGTGCCCCCCAGGGCTGGCTCTGCACGTGGCCGTGCTGTGGGCCCTGGGCGCTAAAGCCTCAGGAGCAGAGGTGGGGGTGGGGATGATGAGAGGTCAAGGGCACCTCAGTGTAGCCAGAGCTGATTGTGCAGCATGCGGGGGAGGGGACAGGGGGTGTCCTCTGCTGCACTCACAGTTCCTGAGCCCCTGAGCCGGCCTCATTTCCCTGCCTCGGGGTGGGGATCTCCTCGTCAGGTGACTCACAGGGCTTTTCTGGAACAGTCACTGTTAAGGGGTGAAGGCATGGCTGCTAGGGGCTGTGCAGACCCTCACCCTGCTGGGACGTCCTAGGCTGCTCTGAGGAGCACCTGGGGCTATCTGCTGCCCACCTCCCTGGCCAGGAGCCTCAGTGCTGCTGCTGCCACACCACACACACACACACACACACACACACACACACACACACACTATACACCACATACCACACACACACCACATACCCCACACACACACACACAATACACACCACATACCACACACACATCACATACCACACACACACACACTACACACCACATACCACACACACACCATATACCACACACACACACAATACACACCACATACCACACACACACCACATACCACACACACACACAATACACACCACATACCACACACACACACACACTACACACCACATACCACACACACACACCACACACCACATACCACACACACACAACACACACATACCACACATACACCACACACGCCACATACGACACACACAGATACTATATACCACATACCACACACACACACACCACACACCACACACACACACATACACCACACATACCACACACCACATACCACACACACAACACACACACACCGCATACGACACACACACCACACCACACACACCACATACCACACACACACCACATACCACACACACACACACACTTACACACCACATACCGCACACACACCACATACCACACACACACACCAGATACCACACACACACACAGACACACACCACACACACACACACCACATACCACACATACACCACACACCACACACCACATACCACATACCACACACACACCACATACCACACACACACAGACACCACACTTACACATACCGCACACACACCACATACCACACACACACACCAGATACCACACACACACACAGACACACACCACACACACACACACCACATACCACACATACACCACACACCACACACCACATACCACATACCACACACACACCACATACCACACACACACAGACACACACCACACACCACACACACACCACATACCACACACACACACTTACACACCACATACTGCACACACACCACATACCACACACACACACACCACATACCACACACACACACCACATACCACACACACATCACATACCACACACACACCCACACATACACCACACACCACATACCACACACACACCCACACACACCACACACCACATACCACACACACACCACATACCACACACACACACCACATACCACACACACACAGACACACACCACACACACATCACATACCACCCACCCACACACACACCACATACCACACACACACACACACTTACACACCACATACCGCACACACACCATATACCACACACACACACCACATACCACACACACACAGACACACACCACACACACATCACATACCACCCACCCACACACACACCACATACCACACACACACACACACTTACACACCACATACCGCACACACACCATATACCACACACACACACCACATACCACACACACACAGACACACACCACACACACATCACATACCACCCACCCACACACACACCACATACCACACACACACCCACACATACACCACACACCACATACCACACACACCCCCACACATACACCACACACACCATATACCACACACACACACACATCACATACCACACACACACACCACACACCACACACACATACACCACACATACCACACACCACATACCACACACACCACACACCACACACACCACATACCACACACACACACAACACACACACACCACATACGACACACACACCACACCACACACACCACATACCACACACACCCCACATACCACACACACACACACCAGATACCACACACACACACACAGACACACACCACACACCACACACACACACCACATACCACACACACACCCATACGCCACACATACCACACACCACATACCACACACACACAACACACACACACAACACATACCACACACACACCACACACACCACACACACACACACCACACACACACACAGACACCACATACCACACACACACACAACACACCATATACCACACACACACACCACACACACACACCACATACCACACACCACACATACCACATATCACACACACAAACACCACATACCACATCCAACACACACACCAGATACTATACCCACACACCACTTACCACATACCACACACCACACAAACACACACACCACACACACACAACACACACACACACCACATACCACACACACACACACCACACACCACACACAGCACCTACACACACCACCCACACACACACACTACATACCACACACACACACACCAGATACCACACACACACACACACACCACACCACACCACACACACACAGCAGATACCACACACACACCATATACCACACACACACCACATACCACACACACACACACACACACACACACACACACACATGCACCACATACCACACACATCACACAAAACACACACAGAGACCAATATAGAAAGAAACAAGATAAGCCAAAGCAGGTGGGCCGTCTAGAGTCCACCACTTACTGGGAAGCAAGCGGAGTCCTGTTCCCCCAGCCCCGCCCCGCCCGCTGCCCCTGAAGCCCCTCTCCCCGTTTTCAGTCACCTCTGCCCCCAGCCTGAGAACTTCCAACCCGAGAACCCAGGCCCCCGGCTGGGCAGGGCCACCGAGCCCACCTTGAAGAGCTGGCTGCCCGCCGTCACCCGGACGATGGTCCCTCGGCCCTGCTTGCGCTCCGACGACTCCAGCCCGAATATCTCCCGCAGGAACTTGTTCTGGGAGGAGTGGACCAGGGTGAGGATGTCCTTGCTCAGCACGTCCCGATTCTTCTCCAGGAAGTCTGCAGGGAAGCAGAGTCCCCCACCCAGTTCGGCCACCGCTGCTTACTCCGGCGAGGGGTGGGCGCGGTGCAACAGGAGTCCCGCAGGCCACCCCTCCAGGCCTGCCTCCATCACCCCATCACCGGTGAGGGACCGGTGCTGGGTGGTGTCACGGCCAAGGCCACATCCCACGGCCGCACTAGCCCCCATCCCCACTGCCGCCCCCATCCAAGCCGCCACCAGTCCTTCCGCCTGATTACCCTGCCCGCCCCCTGCCCCTCCCTGCCTGCCTGGCCCCTCTGCCCCCAGGGACCTTCCTGAGAGGGCACATCACCCGTCACCCCTCTGTACCTTTCCTCTGCTCCTCTGCTGCCAGTGCCTGCCTTCTCCCTCCTCTCTCCCCTGGGGCCTGCACCCCACCCCAAGGAGACCTCATCTCTCCCCCAGGCTCTGTGTCCCACCCCAGGGGGTTTCATCTCTTCCAGGGGGCCTGCAGCCTCCACGAGCTCTCTGGGGCACTCTTCCCTCCAATCCCACCCAGAGGCCAGCTCTGGTTTGTGCTTCAGGCCAGCTCAAGTGACATCTACTCCAGGAGGCTCTCCTGTCCCACAAGTGGGGTGAGAGGCCCTCCTTGGGGCTCCCTTCCGCCCTGTCACTTGGCTCAGGGGTGGCCCGAGGACTTCCCATCTGCTCCCCCTGTTGTAGTTTCTTATGACAGGGCTGAAAGTAAGCTCATCACATGAGATGAATTGTGCAGAAGCACAGCAGTAGAGGGCTGCTGCTCGCTCAGGCAATACAGCGCCGTCTCATCCTGCTGTGGTGACTTTTATTTAAGCATTATCTATGTTTACATCTTAGGACTTGTTTTCTTAACATTCCAGAAATACCAAAGCAGCAAAATATGCTTTTACAGATTATACAAGCAACAATGGGCTTTCTTGAAGACATGCCGTGCTTCGTCCTTGAGCGCAAAGGCAGCACAAGGACATCTCCTTGTGTTCCCATCACTCTGATTATACTGAGGACATTTCATGGATCAGTGTCCAAAGCAGCCAGGACTGCTTGCAGTTCTGGCTTATTCGCACGCCCCCAGTTTGCCGGGTGGTGGGGGTGGCTCATGGGTCACGTCTCCTTCCACGTCCTTAGTTATTTCTCTACATCCACCAGCCACGGCTCCCCGGGTGGACCACGGGCAAGACCGAGTCCACACCCCTCAACATCCCAGCCATCCAGCCACCACTGTCACTGCCACATACACCCAGGAACCCACAAGCAGCACAGCAGACCGAGTGTCCGTTCCATGTGCATTTTAGACCTCCCAGAGGGCAGTGCCTGCAGGCTCTCATCAGGGCTCTGAATTTCTGGGGACCCTGGGCAAGTATGATCGAGGCAACTGCGTGTTTACATAAAGGAGCCGAAAGAAGAAGAGAAGGAAAAGGAGAAAGTACAGAAACCTCTCCACCCCTCATAATCCCTGAAAATCTGGCAACCTGGTCACGTCCAGGCACCTTGCAGTCTGGACAGGAAGACCTGGGCACTCCCACCTGGAGGCCCACCCTTCCCAGCTGGCCGGTCTGTGCAAGAGCGGCCACTTCAAAACGCCCCTGTGGAACCAGCGTCGGGGCAGTAGCTGCTTTGCTCTTCCTGGAAGCCCCAAACGGGGAAACGAAAGAAATTAAACACCATTTGGCTTCCTGGCTTCAAGGATGGGGGGGGTGACTTGCTGATTATGAGGTCCTGAGACATATTTCCCTCTTCATCATAAGTTTAAACTGCACTGGTCTTGGAAATGAACGTGTGCCCATAGGCATTGTGTGCACATGCGTGTGAGCATATGTGTGTGCTTGGACAGAGTAGGTTTAAGGACGAAGCATGTCTGTCACTCACTAAGGAGACTCTGAGGGCCTGGGAACCCCAGGGCCCCTCTACTGGCCCTGCTCTGGGGCCTTGGAAGGACTTCCTAGGGCCAGGGCACCCTCCAGCCTAAGGACTGAGCCTGCAGAAATAAGCTGAGCTGTTTACCCCCCAAAATCTATACGTTGAAGCCCTAACCTCCAGTACCTCAGAATGTGACTATATGTGGAGAGAAGGGCCTTTAAAGAAATAATTAAGATAAAATGAGGCTGTTAGAGTGGGCCCTAATCCAGTCTGACCAGGGTCATATAAGAAGAGGAGATAAGGGACTTCCCTGGTGGCGCAGTGGTTAAGGATCCTCCTGCCAATGCAGGGGACACGGGTTCAAGCCCTGGGCTGGGTAGATCCCACATGCTGCGGAGCAACTAAGCCCATGTGCCACAACTACTGAGCCAGTGTGCCACAACTACTGAAGACTGTGCGTGGAGAGCCCGTGCTCTGCAACGAGAAGCCACAGCAATGAGAAGCCCGCACACTGCAATGAAGAGCAGTTCCTGCCCGCCGCAACTAGAGAAAGCCTGCATGCAGCAACGAAGACCCCACACAGCCAAAACTAAAACTAAATAAATTTATTAAAAAACAAAAAAAGAAGAAGAAGAGATTAGGACCCAGAAACAATAAAGATGCCAGAAGAGAGACATCAGAAGGAACCAGTCCTGCTGACATCTTTGTCTTGGACCCCTGGCCTCCAGAACTATGAGAAAATACATTTCTGTACGTATTTGTGGAACTTTGCTACGGCAGCGCTGGCCAACGAACAGAGGCGTGGGTCTGGGGGTGAGCAGACAGCACCCCTCCCCTGCTGCCGTGGGAGAGTGTGGACCACCTGAGGCAGGGCACAGAATCGCAGGGAGAAGGCACTGGGAGAGGCTGCTTCTCGAAGCCTGGCTAGATGAGGACCCGGGGCCTGCTGAGGGATTCACCCAGCAAGGGCCCGACCCTGACTTGTCCTCACGCTTTGAGTCACCCCACATTTTAGTGGGGTGCATTCTTAAATTCTTAGGAATTTGAGTAGTGTGTGGTCTCTATTTTGTTCAGAATTTAAAAGTGATAACTGATGAAAGACTTTTCTTATTCCCTCTAATTCACATTTACAGGATATCAGAAGCTGATACAATATTGAAATACTGAGTGGTACTAAGGAACTACAAAAATACCATAGGACTTCCCTGGTGGCGCAGTGGATAAGAATCCTCCTGCCAATGCTGGGGACACGGGTTTAAGACCTGGTCCGGGAAGATCCCACATGCCGTGGAGCAACTAAGCCCATGCGCCACAACTACAGAGCCTGCGCTCTGGAGGCCGTGAGCCACAACTACTGAGCCTGCATGCCACAGCTACTGAAGGCTGCATGCTAGAGCCCATGGTCCGCAACAAGAGAAGCCATTGCAATGAGAAGCCCACGCACCGCAATGAAGAGTAGCCCCCACTCGCCGCAACTAGAGAAAGCCCGCGTGCAGCAACGAAGACCCAACACAGCCACAAATAAATAAATTTATATATAAAAAAAAGCGAACAAAAAAACCCCCCAAAATACTATAAAGCTCATCTGTGTATCTCTGCCATTTAACAGTTAATTTAACAACACTATAACTGAATTGTATGCACAAAAAAAAAAAAAAAAAGAAAAACCCACAAACCTGGTGTGGGGTGCAGGGAGGCCACATCAAGGGTGGAAGAAGGAAGCCTGGTTCCCCCTCTGCCAGCAGGTGCTGTGAGAGGAAGGGATTGGACTGGGAGCTGGGGCCATGCAGCCCTCACCAAGCTGGGAGTGGTGAGATCCTAGGCGAGGCTCCAAGGCCACCTAAGCCCCTCTCCCAGCTGTGTGCCAGGAGGCTGCTTTCTGCAGGTGGGGACGGGCAGACACTTGGTGGCACCCTGTGTCTCTCTAGGCTTAGGCAAAGCCTCCCAGCCCCAGGTGTTCTCAGAGTCGGGGGAGGGTCAAGGCACCCCTGGGCTCAGGACCTCAAACGACAGAGTAAATGGGGCTTAAGTTGTCAGCACAGCAGGGCACCAAAAGAAAAACCAGCAGGCCCATCTTTAAAGAGCATGAATAAAATTTTGCACTCAGAAAGAAGCTACCCTAATCTTAGCGTACATGAAAGTTTCAGGTCACTTCAAAAACTAAAACTTGGCCTTGAGTAGCCCATGAAGGTTGATGCGCTCAGTGTCTTTGTATTCTGGGATTCTGGGGTCCCACTAGCTCTGGTCTCTCCCTTTTGGAAGAGCCCCAAAGCCAGGATATGGTGGGAACTATGAAGGAGCAGCCTCACCTCCTCATTTTTCCAACAGAAACAATCCCCTGACCTCCTAACACTGCCCCTCCTCTATGTAAAAACAGCCCCTCCTGCTGCCTTGTCCCTCCACCTGAAAAGTGCTTGGAGCATCCCTGACTCCGAGTTTCCATTTAAACAGATCAGAGCAGCTCCTCATTTCTCCATACGAGCCCCACAGTGACACTATGACCGTCTGCCTCGTTTTCCTGACCACGTCACTCTCTGGCCACCTTTCCCATTTTTCTAAGCACATCAGCAGGTTGACCACTCCAGGCCTTTATTTCTCCAATCAAAACCATGCCTGACCTTATCTCAGCATATACACTTTCACTACCAAGAGGGTGAAAAGATATCCCACAGAATAGGAGAAAATATTTGCACATGTACGGACACATGCTACAACGTGGAAGAACCATGAAAACATTATGCCAAGTGAAAGAAGCCAGTCACAAAGGCCACATGGTGTACAATTCCATTTATGTGAAATGTCCAAAACAGGCAAATCCATAGAGACAGAAATCAGTGGTTGCCTAGGGCTGGGGAGAAATGAGGAATGACTGCTAATGGGAGTTTCTTTTGGGGTGATGGAAAAGTTTAAAAATTGTGGCAATAGCTGCATAATTCTGTGAATATACTAAAAACCATTGAGTTGTAGACTTCAAATGGCTGAATTCTACGGTATGTGAATTATCTCTCAATAGAACTATTACCCACAAAACAAAACACAAACAAACATGCCTGGTGCATTCCATTCCCTCTGTCCCATTGCTGGTTCTGCAAAATGACCTAGTCCCCTCAGCCTTCTTTCCTAGGCCTCCCTGGAGTGCTCGGGATTTAGAAGGAAGGGGCTGTGGAGAGGAACTGCACCCACCTTCTGCCTGGTAGTACACCTCGCCGGCAAAGTGCGCGATGCCAAATCGGGCATCGTGGATGTTCTTGGGCTGCAGGAAGGCCTTGTTGTTGGCATGGACGTTCTTCAGTTTTTGCAGCAAGGTGGTGTCTGTCCCCTGGAAGAACGGACACCCTACGGGCTGGGGTCCCAGAGTCCAGCCACTGGAAGGTCAGCTGGCACACCCCCAGGTCTCAGGGGCTCCCTCAAGGGGGAAAAACAACTGGGTTCAGAATGACTGAGGGCCTTTCCACAGACAGCAAACGGGTGCCCAGGTGGCGGCAGCTTGTTGCGGTGAGTGAGGACAGAGGCGGGAGTAGAGACTGGGTCGGCCAATCCTCACTGCCAGCTTCCTGCTCTACCCTTCCCTACAACTGCCCAGGGACCAGAGCTTCTCCCTTCTGTAGATCAGAGCTCTTCCTGACTACCTTTGAGAATCCATCTCCCCAAGGACAGGCGGAGTACCCCAAAGTGAGAATGAAAGTGTTTCCTTGTCTTGAACCCTCTGCAGCCCTTGACCCACAAGGCTGAACAAGCCCCCTGTTGGGGTGTGTTCTTGAATCTAAATAATGCATTCTGGGGAGTGGGAGTGAGGGTAGAGTCAGGTGCCTCCCTGCAGGAGGCGGGCCTTGAAGGAGAGGAAGGCTGGAAGGCTGGGGCTTGTCTGCTAACTCCCGGCAGAGGTTCCAGCAGCCCTGGAGTTTCCCATGTGTGGGGTCTCCACCCGAGGGGCAGTGGGCCCAGGGGCGCACCTGTGGGAAGCGGCTCTCTTCGTCCAGGAGGGACATGATGCTCAAGGGCTTGAGGGCCAGCAGGTCCAGCGTGGGCAGGTTGTCGTTGTAGCGGATGTAGTCCCAGGCGATGCACTCGGTGCGGTATTCTTCCTGCTCCATGGTGAACACGTGCTGCACGAAGAGCTGCTGCAGGTGCTCGTTAGCCAGGTTGATGCAGAGCTGCTCGAAGCTGTGGGGACAGGGCCGCCCCCGGCGGGGAAAGGTTGGCTCAATCGCTACTGCAGCTGGCCACTGGCACACAGCTGCATACCCCCAAACACACGCACACGCTGACACACAGCCTCCCTCTTCTACCTCCACCTCCATCACCTCCTCCACCCCACAGCAAACAGACTCAGAGAAATGAGGGGGCTTGTGAATCATCAAGCCCCTGCCTTTGGTTCCTTCCGGTTCCCTGCGGTCCTCTGCCAGGCCTACCTATCCTGACACGGAGACAATCCCTGGGTGACCAAGTGTCCTGTAGCCACCCGCGCATCCATGGGCAAGTGGCCTTGGTATTAAGATGTGCTTCTGCCTGGGCTCCTTTGCATCAACCAGACACACTCCCTACCCCCACCCCAATCCTCCCAACCTGTTCTCCCTCCCGGGTTCCCCACCTTGGGCAATGGGTCCGCCACTTACCGCCCCTAGCTCAGGTGAGAAACCAGCCCGTCATGCCTGACACCCCTCTCTCCCTCCTCCCCAATTCCAATCAGTTGCCAAAGTCTGGTCCACGCTTTCTCCAACACAGACCTGTTTACTTCTTTTCACCGCCACTGCTGCTACTTTAATCCAGGCCACCCTTCTTCCTCACCTGGAGCACAGTAACAGCGTCCTCATGGCTCTTCCTGCCTCCAGCCTCACCCCCCCATCACTCTCCACAGCCACTAGAGGGAGCACATCTGATCCCGCTCTCCCCCTGCTTCGAATCCTCGCGGACCTGGGCGCCCATTGTTTTCGGGATCCAGACAGACAGTGACACAGTAGAAAGCCTGCCCGTCTCTGCCAGGGAGTGGCTGAGGGGCACCTGGACTTCTCACTGTGCTGGGAAGCCACCTGGCCCCTCCTTACCTCTGAGTCTTCTTCACACGTGTGAGCCCCTCCCCTCCTTCCTCTGACCTGCTTGGTCTGCTCACCCTCTGGGTCTCACTTAGGCATTTCTTTTTCAGGATGGGTTGCCCATTTATGCAAAGCCGCATGGTACCCGGGACTGGTTGTTGAAGGTCTGTTAACCCAAGAGAGTTAACACACTGCCTGCAGAGTGTGGACTATGAATGCTGCCTGCCATATCAATAAACAAAGGGTGTCACAGCTACGAGCCCTGAGGGAACTCAGGATGGAGACAAGGAATGACCACCATCTAGCAGTCATCAGACTGCAGCCACCCCCAACGGTGCAGATTGAGGAGACTGAGGATGAGAAGGCACAGGGTACTGGCCTCGGATAGCTGAAGTGCATATCAAAGGAATGATTTCAATGAGCCCAGACTCTTGCATCTTCCCATACATAGAAAAGCGCTAAATGCCTTAACTTAAATGTCTGATTTTCTTTAATTAACAATAATCTTTTGATGTTCCAACTACCTGCCCTTTGTTGCAAAACTCTTATATGCCTTGGGACCCCCCCTCACCTCCTCGGAGTAGTTTTCTCAGAGTTATTTGAGATGCTGTCTCCTGGGCTTCAAGTCCTAAGAATGTCCACTGAATAAAACATGACTCTCAACTTTGAGGTTGTGCACTTTTTTCAGTTGACAAGAGCGGTCGGTGAACCCTGGTCGGGCCAGTGACTGGGTGCTGCGAGTGACACAGCCCTGCTCCTTCATGTGGCCCCCGGACTGCAGCCCTGTCGCAAACCCAGCTCGTGGCTCCTTCACAGAGGGTCCTTGCATAAATGGCCAGATCTCCTACAACCAACTACTCATCCACCTCCAAAGGGTCCAAAAGTGTGCTTGGTCTGCTCAACGGCCCCTCTCAGGGCCAGAAACCAATGATCAGAATCACTTTTTAGTTTACTTAGAGCTTGCATTGCGTTGGGCTGAGTTCTGCCAGCCCTACCCCATCCCACCTGCCTGCAGAGAGCTGGTCCTGGGAAGCTGTCACCCCTGTGTGCTTGCACTCGGAATGGCTTGTATCTTGACAATCCTGGCCAAGTTGTTAGGGAAACCACTGACCGAAACCGCCCACCCTGGCCAGGCCCGATAGTAACCACTTGCATGAGTTATCTTATTTTTTTTTTTTTTTTTTTTTTTTTTTTTTTTGCTC